GCGTGTGGCCCGGGTGGCAGCAGATCCTGGCTGGGAACTGGGTCAACCTTCGAGGTACCTCCAGGCCCCATCCCAGGGGCTGAGCCCAAGAGCGGCTCTGCCTTCCCCTAGGCCTCTTTCTGGCCTTGTTCAAAGAACAGGCTGGGCAGGGAAGTGGCCAGGCCGACGGAAACCGTCTGGTGCCAGTCCGGATGAGAGCCCCTCGGAAGCCTGGAGCCCGGCCTGTGATCAAGTCAGACCTGGCTCCAGAAAGCACTACTTGGGTGGGGTGGGGTGTGTCCCCACCTGAGAAGGCCACTCACATTTAGCATTTGGGAGGGGGACTGTTCCCCAAACCCTGGGCCAGGCTGAGCCCTCCTGCTGGCCCTGCTCCTGTAGAAATACACCAGGAACACCGGTTCCTCTCCACAGCCTGGCCTGGAGGCTCCAGGGTGAAGCTCAGTTCCTTTCATTATCATCCTCTCTATCCCGACGCCCCCAGCCCCATTTTCTACCTGACTCATTCATTCAACAAATGTTTCGTGCCAAGGACAGGAAAAGACAGTTACCAAAAAGGCCCAGAGTCCCAGTCCTCGTGGAGACTACAATCCTCTGATAAAGTCCTACCATCCTCTGAGGCTCAACGAAACACAGCCTCCTCCAGGAAGCCCACCTAGCTGTCCTGGGAGTTCCTTTCTCTGGCTTTGTCTATCTCTCTCTCAGGGCTCATGACACATCTCCTTTAGCCTTAGGATGGCCTCATGTGACCTGTCTCTGTCTCCTTGGAACCAGCACACAGATGGGCCTCAGTAAGTGGTAGCTGCTGTCACCATCATCAAGGAGGGACAAAATTCTGGGGGTCCTGTGAACCCCTTGCCTGGCTCCCTGGCCTCTGGCAGACAACACTCCAATGTTGCCAGCATACATGCTGGTGGGCCCGTCTTTGAGAAAACTTGGCATCGAAAAATCCCAACCACCAAAGCTCACAGGGAGGGTCTACTTGACCTTTGTGAAAGTTGCCTTAGTGTCTGCAGCCAAAGGGAGAGCTGGCTGGGTGCAGTGGTTCACGCCTGTCATCCCAGCACTTTGGGAGGCTGAGGTGGGTGGATCACCTGAGGTCAGGAGTTCGAAACCAGCCTGGCCAACATGGTGAAACCCCGTCTCTACTAAAAATACAAAAAAATTAGCCGGGCGTGGTGGCGCGCGCCTGTAATCCCAGCTACTTGGGAGCCTGAGGCAGAAGAATCGCTTAGAACCTGGGAGGCAGAGGTTGCAGTGAGCCAAGATCATGCCACTGTACTCCAGCCTGGCGACAAGAGCAAGACTCTGTCTCAAAAATAAATAAATAAATAAATAAGTAAATAAATAAATAAAGGAGCTGTCATCAGTGCCAAAGAGCCCTGGGGTCACAGCTGTGACTGTACTTGCCATCTCGAGCTGCTCTGCTCTGGGCTGATTCCTGCAAGAGCAGTTCTGGTCCTGCCCCTGTGGGTGGGGTGGTGGGGTTCTGATGCCCTTCTCCTCACCCCTCTGCATCTCCTAGGAAGAGGCAGGGGACGAGGCAGGCGCCTCCCAGGAATCCCATGCTGCCTGTGTGAAGGACCGGCTTCTGGCAGGGACATGGAGTCCAGGCACAGCTGGGAGGAAGATTTGAGAGGTGGACAGCAACACTCGGCTGGCAGAACAGTTGGTTCCCGTGTCCTTGCCAGGCCTTGCAAGCAAAGCCCCAGGCAGGAGCGTGAGGCTGGACCCCGGCCCAGCAGCCCCATACTCCTGCCAGACCTCAGGCTCAGCTCTGGGGAAAGGGAGCATGCAGAGGCCCTGGCCAGAGGCCTCCTGACCTTCCCAGGCATGGGGGCGGAGTGCAGGCCATGAGCAAAGCTCAGCTGCATGGCTGGGACTGAGGACAACTCCCAGAGCCTCCAAGGAGCTTCCCCACCCAAGAAGGGGACTGGCAACAGCACCGTGGCAAAGCAGGGGAGATGGTCATGAGCTCTACAGGCCGGCCTTCCGTGCCTGCTCCTTAAGGCAGGGCCCTCTCTGGGAACGGCCTAGGCAGCCAGCCTAGCTTCACCTGTCGACCTGAGCCATCTCTGGTGGAAAATAAACCTGTTAGGAGTTGGAGACAGGGCCTCCAGGGCAGCGCCTTCCCTTCGTGGGCCCACGGGCCAGGCCCGCATCTTCCATTTTGGGTGACTCTGCTGTCTCCTAGCATACTGCCCTCTGTGCCTCAGTGGCCAGGGGCCCTGATTCATTCAAACTCACACCGGCCCCAAGCACCATGCAGTCTGGGGGGGGGCGTTCTGCTTCCTGCTGTCAGCTTGGAAGCTGAGACTCAGTGCCTGTAGAACGTCTCAGCATAAGCTGGGTGCGGTGATTGCCGCCTATAATCCCAGCACTTTGGGAGGCTGAAGTGGGAGGATTGCTTGAGCCCAAAAGTTCGAGACTAGCCTGGGCAACATAGGGAAATCCTGTCTCTTTAAATAAATAAATAAATAAATAAGAAATTAGCTGGGTGCCATGGTGTGTGCCTGTGGTCCCAGCTACTTGGGAGGCTGAGGTGGGAGGATGGCTTGAGCCTGGGAGGTCGAGGCTGCAGTGAGCTGTGATTGTGTCACTGTACTCCAAGCCTGGGCAACAGAACAAGACTCTGTCTCAAAAAAACAAACAAAACATCCCAGCAGAACAGGGGAGGGGCCTGCCCCTTGGAAGGAGCTGAGGATGGGAAGGAGGGCAGCTAAGGCTTCCAGTCCACAGCCAGAGGCAGAATCAGAGGCAGATGTGACCTTAGTGAAGCCCAGGTCCGCCCTTGGGGATCCCAGGGAAGCGGACAGCTGCCAGCCTCCATGGCTGCCCGACCCCCTCTCCCCATACCAGCCACCCACACACAGCAGTCAGGGCAAGCTCTCAAAAGCCGAGAGCAGCCTTGCTGCGTGCTGAAGGTTCCCGTAGCTCCGGGGCACCCGGGGTGGCTGCCCTGCGCCTCTGGGGGCTCAGCTCCAGCCACGCTGCTCAGGTCACAGGGGTTCCTTTCCTGCCTTTGTACTGCCTATTAACCTCTTCTGCAATGTCCTCTCCCCACCCGGCAGGTGTCACTCACTCATTCTCAGTCTGCCCCCATCACAGCACCTTCCAACCCGGCTTCTGCGCCTGTGTCTCCCCACCATGCTGTGCGGGCCTTGTTCGTCTCACTCCCAGCTGTGTCCCCAGCCTTGCAGGAGCAAGGCTGCATGTGTGAGAGCTCTGCGAAGGTCCTGGGCCACCCCAAGCCTTGGGTCCTTATAGGCCCTAACACCTTGGGACTCAGGGCAGTAGCAGCTCTGTCCCAGCCCTGCAGGGGAGAGGGACACAGACCTGAGTCCTGGGCTGAGGGCTGAGAATCACCTAGTCAGCCCCAGACCCCAGGGCGCTGCCCGCCATGCCCTGGAGAGGACGACACTGCACTCAGTCAGCCTGGGGTCCTGTGCATAGACCCCTTTGGCAGGAAGCTGTAGAGGAGGCTGGTGGTAGCCAGGCTCAGCTGCACGTGATCCCCTCTCCCATCCTAGTGAATGCTGCCTTTTAGGCTCAGAGGGTTTCCGGGCAGGGGAGTGGTCTGTGAAGGGAGGCCAGCGGCAGCAGCCAGCACACCCTGGTCTGGCTTCAGTGCCAGGGTGCAGGGACGTGGCCGCCCGGCCTAGGTTTTGGAGAGGGCACTAGATCTGTCCAGGAAGTCATCCCCAGCCCCGTGACCTGTCTCACTCTGTGCCCTCTGCCCAGGCAGAACCAGCCTGAACCAGTTTGCGTGGTTCAGACAGGCCAAGGGACAGAAAGGGACTGTAAACAAATAGGTCCTTGCTGGAAGGCCACTGGGCCTCCCACACTGGTTACTCTGCCAAATACTTTCGGTATTGAAGCAGGTCGAAGGTGCTTCAATACCGACCCCTCAGCCAGGCGTGGTGGCTCATGCCTGTCATCCCAGCACTTTGGGAGGCCGAGGTGGGTAAATCACCTGAGGTCAGGAGTTCAAGACCAGCCTGGCCAACATGGTGAAACCTCATCTCTACTAAAAATACAAAAATTAGCCAGGTGTGGTAGCAAACGCCTGTAATCCTAGCTACTTGGGAGGGTGAGGCAGGAGAATCACTTGAACTTGGGAGGCCAAGGTTGCAGCGAGCCGAGGTCGCGTTACTGCATTCCAGCCTGGGCAACAGAGCGAGACTCTGTCTCAAAAAAAAAAAAAAAAATACTGACCCCTCCTGCCTCCCTTGCAGGGTGCCCACAGGCCACCAGCAGCCTTGTCACCTCAAGGGTGGTCCTTGTGGGCGGTGGTGGCAGCAGGCCCTGGGAGCTGGGCCTCAACCTGCTGAATCAGAATCTGCACTCAAACTGCACCCTCCAGGGTTCTGTCTGCATGTAACCCTCCGATAACTGGCCCCAGGAGGATGGCGCTAGGCCGGGGAGACGCCCTGTCAGTGGGGTTTCAGATGCTGTGCTGCACGGGCAGGAGACTCCCAGCCCCACGGTCATCACATCCCAGTCTGGCCAAGGCCAAGGCGCTGGGAAAGAGCAGTGCAGAAACACTCGTGGGACACTGTGAAAGGATCCCCAGCTCCGTGGCCAAGTGTCAGGAGGCTGGCCCCAGGCCCAATGCACACTCACTCTGAGCAGGGCTGGTGCACCTGGGGCCCAGTTTTCCTCTCCACACACGAGCCCCAGGGCCAGGCAGGACGGCACAGGGGAGCTCTCAGCCTGCGAGGCCTGGCAGAACCACACAAATGGCTATTTGTTTCCTCAGTTCCATCCACTGAGATCCCCCACACCAAAGTGAATAGGGCAGCAGGCATCAGGCCACAGTCATGGCACCCAGACAGACCTGTGTCCTGGGGAGGCCTGGCCAAGGCACGGCATGAGCATCTGTCTCCGTCGGGCAGCTGAAATACCCAAGAACGCCCAGTGTGGGGGACAGTGGTAGATTTTGGCCACCTAGCACATTTTCAACCATGGACAGAGCCATGTCTGAAGCAAGGACACTCCTGGGCTTTGCAACCACCCATCAATAAACTTCCTTTTTTATTATTAAGTGTGGGCAGGGTTTCTGTTCTTACAACTTAGTCCTAACAGAAAACACTGGTTTCACAGGACAAAAAGGCACGAGACAGCTGGACACCTGGAGAGAGGTGACACAGGACAGAGTCCTCACCCGCCTGCCCTGGGCGTTGCGGCTGCAGTCCCTGGGCCTGGTGGCATCCACAGCATGGCAATCTCTGGCTGGGCTTCAGGGAGCCCGTATGTCTGATTGGCAGGGCTTTGCCGGCCAGGCAGTGGGCACCAGCGTGGTGGGTGGGCAGGCCTGAGCTTCCAGGAGGCCTCCTGGGATTCAGGCTCTTCAGTGGGGTGTGCTTGTCGGGGGGAGGGTGGGTTCTGTGGCTTTCGGCTACATTCCCCTGCTGTCTTCCGTCTATGTTCCAAAACCCGCTCTGGTCCCTAGGTGTCTGGAGACGTGGGGTGGTCCAGCTCAGGAGGCCATCTGGAGCTGCTGCAGCAGCCTGCAGAGCGGGAGTTGGCATTGGTTCCCAAGAGGTCTGGGTGTTCTGGGGCTTCCTGAAGGGAAAGGCATTACCTGCAGTGAAGTCAGAAGGACACAGTGTCCAGCAAAAAGGCACTGGGAGTCCAGAAAGAGCCACTCCCCACCGTTGCCCCTGCCACCATGGGGTGGGCTCTCGGAGCCCTGGGCAGCTTCTGGAGCTGCCCTCTTGGGGGCATGGGCAGTGGAGCTGGCTTGGGGACAGATGTTCTGCAGGCCGGGGGTCAGCTGTGAAAGGCAGACCAGGCCACGCCCGAGCCGTAGAACTCCACGCGGCTGGGCCAATCGCCGTCCCTGCTGCCCTCCTTGTCCTCGTCGGAGTCATCATCATCTCCACTGGACGCTCCGCAGATGGGCCGGGTCAGGTGGGCCGGCTGCCCTGGGGACCCCGCGCCCTGCTCCTCCGCCTCCTCCTGCCGCTGCTGGGCAGCCAGCTCGCGGTAGCAGAGGCTGCAGACGCGCACAGGCTTGGGGGACAGGCGCGGGAGCAAGAAGCGCTGGCGCGAGCACTCAGCGCAGACCACGAAGCCGCACTTGCGGCAGTGGTGGCGCCTCGTGAGGGCGGAGAAGCGCGTCTGCGTGCAGCGCATGCAGATGTCCGTGGCCTTGTCGGGGATCCAGGGCGCCGCGTGCTCCGTGCTGGGCGGGCGGCCCGTGGCCCGCAGCTGCCGCCGCACACACTCCTCGATGTGGCTGATCCACTCCTGGCGCTCCGTGGCGGAGGCGGCCGACACCACGAAGGACTTCTTGGCTGTCTTGATCATCCAGCGGTTCTTGGCCTGCAGCGTCTCCGGCAGCAGCTCCAGCGTGACCTCCTCCAGGGGAATGATGTGCTGGCTGCGGTACTTGCGCTTGTTGAGCACGATGCTGCCATACACCAGGATGTCGTTGAAGAGGAAGAAGATGCGCGGCTTGGCCTTCTTGCGGCACTCCTTGGTCAGCACGCCCTCGCCAAGCAGCACTCGGCCTGGCAGCGCCAGCGGCTGCCCCGAGGCCCCGAAGCAGCTCTCCACGGCCGCGATGCGCTGGCTGTTGATCTCCGTGTTGGCCAAGTGGTCCACCATCGTCTCCAGCCACCGGCTGCAGGAGGAGACAGACGGGGAGTAAGTCCAGGCTCAGGCATGGGGGTGTCAGAACCAGGCTGCCCATCCCCGACTCACTAACCCACCACACCAGGCAGCCCACTGACTACCCACAGTACCCCGTAGGCCTGCCAGCACTGAGCGGCATCACCCCAGAAGCTGACCCTTCCACGGGAGTATAGGGAACTACGGGGAGGGAAGGGAGATTCCCCAGTAAAGGGGAGGTGGTGGCCAGACAGGGCTGGGAAAGCAGTGATAAAGTGTGCTACTTAGGCCAGGTGCAGCGATTCATGCCTGTGGTTCTAGCGCTTTGGAAGGCTGAGGCAGGAGGAAGCTTGAACCCAGGAGTTTGAGGCTACAGTGAGCTATGATCACACCACTGCACTCTAGCTAGGTGACTGAGTGGATTCTATCTCCTAAAAAAAAAAAAAAATGTTCTACTAAGCGGGCTACCACTGTGGGCAGCAGAGGTCCAGCCGCGCTGGGGAGCCTTGAAAAACAGGGTGGAATAGGCCTCAACGGGACATCAGAACGGTCCTTGCCAGGAGACCTGGGTGTCCCCACCCCCAACCCATCCCTGACTCTGCCATTCACCAAACCAAGCCATCACAGGCCCTGCAACCCATGCACCCACCCAGTGAGTGCAGCAGTCACCACCACCATCACAAGCACAGGCGCTGAGTGCTTCTTCTCAACCAAGCCTGACTATCTCATTTAGTTCCCACCTGACCCCAGAAGGCAGAATCCCCACTTTACAGGAGGGGAACTGAGGCGATGCTAGGAGGCAGGGGCCCTGGAGCTCGCACTATGCTGTCCTCCTGAGTGGAGTGGGAGGCCACACAGGCCCCTCTGCTGGTGCCCTAAGCACTAAGCACTAACTCAGAGCTCATGCTGGGCGCCCTTGCTCAGTCCACACATGCACCAGCCCACCAGACTCATGACCTTGAAGACCCCCTAAATGCCACAGATTCCCCAGTCCAAGCCTCCGGTCTTGGCCTCTCCAAGCTCTAAGAGGGCTCTCAGCATAGATATTCACCTGCTTGTCTAACAAGCTCCTCAAACGCAACACATCCAATGCTAAACCCAGTCCCCACAGACCTGCGCCTCTTCCTCTCCTTCAGTGACACCGCCATTCACCCAAGAGTTCAAACCCAGATCTAGGATGCATCCTTGAATCTCCCTCTTCCTGTACCTCCAGCATTCAAGCCATGAGCAAATCTCATCATCTTTTCCTCCTCTCAAATCTAGCCCGCCCACTTCTCAGCACACGACTCCACCACCATATCGGCGGCAAGGTGCCATTGCGTCCCACCTGAGACAGGCTGTCCCAGGGTCGGCTCCTTCCTGCAACAGGTTCTCAGTTCCCATCTGTCTCCTTTTCAAAAGGGTTCTCCCTGACAACCCCAGCTCAGGCAGTCTCTCCCCATACCCAGGACAGGCATTGGTAATGCATGGTCTGAGTCAAATCTGGCCCTCAGCCTGCTTTTGTAAAGATTTATTGGGACACAGCCAGATAACGTTCATTTATTATTGTCTCTGGTGGCTTCCACACTGCAATGGGAGAGTTGAGTGTTGGTGACAGGGACTACATGGTGACAAAGCCTAAAATATTTACCACCTGGCCCTTTGTAGAAAGGGTCTGCTGGCCCCTTCTCTGGGATTCAATCCTATTTTGTTTTTTCTTTGCGGGATTTAACAGGACCTGCTGTTTTCTCGTCTATTCATTGCTTGTGTGTTTTCTGCTTCCCCTACTCAATTCTTAGCTCCGTGAGAACACGAGCCTCTTCCTGTTGTGTCCACAGTTCTTGGAGCCATGCCAAGCACATACTAGGTGCTTCATAAGTAGCTTGGCACGGTTCCAAGCAGGTCCCAAGGCCCACCATGCATGACTCAGCTCTTACCTCTACAGAGGAAGAGGTGAGAGCTGGCCCCACCACCACCACGTGCACACATGCGTTCAGGCACACACGGCACGCCTGGGGCTGAGCTGATCACACCCATAGTGTTTCTGGGTCACTGAGCTGCAGTTCTGAGCCTGGCCACCAGTAGAAAGCCACAGTGGGGCCCCAGTGTGACGGCTGGATGCATTGCACAAGAGAAGATGCTGGGCCCTCGAGTCCCGTTCCACTTGCCCCTGTAGATCACAAGTGTCCTGAGAAGAGCTGCCCACACCGCCTTACGTAAGAACTGCTATTTTTAGGTTGCTGATCTTGGCTGTATACTGCAAACCTAGGGGATTACCAGTGACAGATCTGACCCGTCTCTCCATGACTGATCACCGAGTACCTGGATGATGGACAATCTGACAAAACCAGAACTGCATTCCACAAAGAGCGGTGACCGCACAGCAGAGACAACCAAAATGCCTACCAGCAGGGAAAACCACAAAAACCCAGGGCTACTCACGCAATGAGAGATACAAATCAATGTGGTCTGATGGCAAACAACAAACACGGAGTGGAAAAACACAACCTGTAGAATGTTGTATGTAAAGTGACACCACTTATGCAGGAATTACATAACATTCTGAAAGTGTTCAAGAACTATATCTATGAATAAAAATAGGTAGCAGGAAGGCCGGGCACAGTGTCTCACGCCTGTAATCCCAGCACTTTGGGAGGCTGAGGTGGGCAGATCACCTGAGGTCAGGAGTTCGAGACCAGCCTGGCCAACATGGTGAAACCTCATCTTTACTAAAAATACAAAAATTAGCTGGGCGTGGTGGCGTATGCCTGTAATCCCAGCTACTTGGGAGGCTGAGACAGGAGAATCGCTTGAACCCGGGAGGTGGAGGTTGCAGTGAGCCAAGATTGTGCCATTGCACTCCAGCCTGTGTGACAGAGTGAGATTCCATCTCAAAAAAAAAAAAAAAAGGAGGGAAAAAAAAACAAAACAAAAAATAAATAATAGGTGTTGGTGAGGGTGTGGAGAAACTGGAACCTGTACACTGCTGATGAGAATATGAACTGGTGCAGGCCCTAAGGAAAACAGTACGGAAGTTCCTTAAAAAGTTAAAAATACTCACACCTGTAATCCCAGCACTTTGGGAGGCCGAGGCGGGCGGATCATGAGGTCAGGAGATCTAGATCATCCTGGCCAACACGGTGAAACTCCGTCTCTACTGAAAATACAAAAAATTTGCCGGGTGTGGTGGTGGGCCCCGCCTGTAGTCCCAGCTACTCGGAAGGCTGAGGCAGGAGAACAGCGTGAACCCAGGAGGCGGAGCTTGCAGTAAGCTGAGATCGAGCCACTACACTCCAGCCTGGGCGACAGAGAGAGACTCCATCTCAAAAAAAAAAAAAAAAAAAAAGGGTTAAAAACAGAACTACCATATGATCCAGCAATGCCACTTCTGGATATATATCCAGACTGAAAGCTGGGACTAAAATAAATATCTGCTTTCCCAGGTTCATATCAGCATCATTCACAATAGCCAGGAGGTGGAAGCAACTCAAATATCTATCAATGGGAGAATGGATGAACAAAATGTGGAACATACTTACCATGAATACTATTCAGCCTCGAAAAGGAAGGAAATTCTGACGCATGCTACAACATGAATGAGCCCTGAGGACATCATGCTAAGTGAACCAGGCCCATCACAAAAGGACAAATAATAATAACTTATATGAGATACACAAACTGATCAAATTCATAGAGGTAAAAATAGAATGGTGGTTGCCAGGGGCTGCTGGAAGGGGTATGGGGAGGCTGTCTGGGTATGGAGTTTCAGTTTTAAACGGTTAAAAAGTTTTAGAGGCTGGGTGTGGTGGCTCATGCCTGTAATCCCAGCATTTTGGGAGGCCAAGGCGGGTGGATCACTTGAGGTTAGGAGTTCGACACCAGCCTGGCCAATATGGTGAAACTCTGTCTCTACTAAAAATACAAAAATTAGCCAGGGATGGTGGCGCGTACCTATAGTCCCAGCTACTCGGGAGGTTGAGGCAGGAGAATCACTTGACCTAGGAAACAGAGGTTGCAGTGAACTGAGATCATGCCACCACACTCCAGCCTGGGCATCACAGTGAGACTCCATCTCGGAAAAAAAAAAAAAGGTTTTGGAGATCTGTTACACAACAATGGGAATATACTTAACACTACTGAACTGTACACTTGAAAGTGATTCGAATGGTAAAAATAAAAGACAGGAGGGAGAAAGTCAGGAGTAAGTAGTCTGGGGAGAGGACCTAGATGTGACCAGGAATGGGGGGCTCAGATTGGATTCCATCTTCGTCTGTAAGGTTTCATTTTTTTTGTTTTTAATTAGAAAAAGGTAGCAGCAAACATGACGAAATCCGAATATCTGCCAATTTCAAGAAATGGGAACACGTGTTGCTTCTTCTAATGTAAGGTCTTCAAAAAGAAAAGAATTACAGGCCAGTGTATGGATTGAGTCCTGGGCTCCATGGGCTGGGGGCCGCTGAGCATGTCTCACGATGGGACACCTGGCTGGGCCTGATAGGGTGACCGCATGGCATCCGGGCCTGGGCACCTGCAGGGGATGTCAGAAGCCCCGAAGAAGCAAGGCCACGTATGGCCCCAGCCCACCTATGTGCTGGGAAGTCAGGCCGCTGGCGAAACGGGATGCAAGCCCAGTCCTGAGACTGCAGACCAAAGCCTCCATATTCAGTAGCTGAGACAGGTGGGCTTTGTGCCCAGAGAGCAGGTAGCCCTCCCGCAACCCTGGGGGCTTGTTGAGCTCTGGATACTGGGCCAGCCAAGTGGACGACACAGAGGAAGGGAAGGAACAGCACCAGGCGGAAGAGAGCCGTAGGCAGGGGTGCCCAATCCACCCAGACCCGGCCAGCAGAGGGCAGAGCCCATAACACTGTCTCTACAGCCCTTGGAGGAGGCACAGAACGCTCCACATGGGACCCCCTTGCTGCTCTGCCCCCGCCCGTGACTTGAAGACCCCCTCTAGGCCCTTACAGCCAGTGTCCAGCTGCTGATGGTAAAATGTGGACCGGGAAGGGCAAGGAGGGGCATCTGCTGGCGATGAAGGGGGCTGGGCTGAGAGTTGACCCCACACACTGACTGGGGCTGCCAGGGGCTCACATGTGCCCCCCTTTGTGAACTTGCAGAGGGTCCCAGATTGGGCAAGGGGTAGGGCAGACAATATCCTCCTGGGGGCTGCCCCTGCATGCAAGCCCTCTCTACAGGACCACAACTTCACACCCCGCTTTGACCTGGTCTGTAGGTGTTTCTTGGCAAATACAGCAGCCCTGAGTTAGATGGGGAATGCTTTTTTTTTTTTTTTTTTTTTTCCTGAGACATTATCTTGCTTTGTTGCCTAGGCGGAAGTACAGTGGTGGTGCAATGAGGGCTAACTGCAGCCTCAAACTCCAGGGCTCAAAAAAACCTCCCGCCTCAGCCTCCTGAGTAGCTGGGACCACGGGCATGCACCAGTATGCCTGGCTACTTTTTAAATTTGTTGTAGAGGCGAGGGTTCGCTGTGTTGCTTAGATAGGTCTTGAACTCCTGGCCTTAAGCAATCCTCCCTCCTCAGCCTCCCAAAGTGCTGAGATCGCAGGTATGAGCCACTGAGCCCAACTGGGAATCCTCCTTTTTTTTTTTTTATTGTTCTCACCAGGGAAGTGAACCTCCCTTGCTTAGCACGGGGGAGGAAAAAGCTGAGTCCTGTCCTTATTCATTTGGGGCTGGCCTGCCTCGGGAAGATGTTGGTGACAGAGCTTCCGGGCAGCCTCTGGGACTCAGAGAGTGCCTGTGTTGGCCCCAGGGCTGCTGGTAGAGGGGTGACCGCGGCGCAGTCTCAGTAAGCCTGGGAGTCAGGCAACGAACAGACCTGCATCTTTCTTTGAGGGTTCAGAGGGGTGGGGACTCTCAGGCTCAGCAATCCTGCTGCCTGCACAGGGGCTGGAGGTGCTCACGTGAGCACTGCGGCTTGGGAGCCACATCCTGAGAGCCACCGCGTGGCTGTAGAAGCCATGAAGCCAGGTTCTGTATGTTACAGCCCAGGTGTGATATGTGCTCAACAGCAGGGGCTGGAGAGCTACACCAAATCCGGGCCACTGCCAGCTTTTCTAAATCCAATTTTACTCAAACACAGTCATGCGGGACAGAGGCTGTATGGCTGGCAAAACCTAAACTATTTGCTACCAGCTCTTGACAGAAAAGGTTAGCCAACTCCTGATCTACACCACGCCACATTGTAAAATGCATAACACACACACTGCAGGGCACGCTGAACAGGCCACGCAGGGCACTGTCCTGATGGGAGTTGTCCTGTCCTCTCCCCTACTCGGGACACAGCATTTTGGATAAATGAGAGATGTGTGGGGCCCCAATATGGTAGCCCTGGAAAGTAGGAGCTGGGCAGCGGTCGGGGGTGGAGTGGGAGCTGTAACTCCTCTGCCTCGGCTTACACGTGGAGAACCTGCTCAGGGATGTGCAGGGCCAGGGTCACCAAGGAAATCAGAGTTCTGGGGGCAGCTCAGCCCTTTGGACTTTCCCTTGACTTCCAGATCAGGGCTGCTCCTTCCCTGCAGGGACCTGGACCCCACGCAGGCCCACCCTGCTTCTATGCCTGCCTGATTTCATTTTCCAAATATTTATGAGTCCCACTGTGTGCCAGACACTGTGTGAGGTTAAAGCCGGGAGCTGGAGACCAGGCCCTTCAGGAATGCACACTTCTTTCCAGTGAGACTAGAAGTACATTCACAGGGTCTTTTCTGAGAGCCAGTGCTAAGCACTGTGAAGAAAGACTGGTGCGCCCAGCAGGGCAGGGGCTGGGAGGACGGTGGAGATCAGGGAAGGCCTTGGGAGGAAGTGAACTCCCTCCAGCCTGAAGAAGTCAGCTGTGCAAAGATCTAGGGGCAGAGCTCCGGTCCTGGGGAGCAGCTCAAGGTGGAAAGGGTGAAGTCAGGCTGTGGAGTAAGGAGCGATGGGGATGGGGCAAGGGGGACAGATGAGGTCACAGTGCTGGAAGGGGCCATCCTGCAGGCTCCCAGGCCAGCGCGAGGATGTGAGGTTTTCTCCATGTGCACTGAGACCGCAGCACCAGGTGCCAAGCCTCCTCTCCCTCCAGAGGGCCGCCCCTCGGCTCTGTCCAGCCCTCTGACTTCTGGAAGGCCCTCCTCCGGGAAGAGACCAGTAATGAAAAACAAAGCAAAACAAAACTGGAAGTGCCGCTGACTGAGCACTTAGAACTCACCAGGCACAACGTTAAGCATATTACGTGCATTATTTCACTTAATCCTCACAAAAGCCCCCCTTGGGGAAGGTACTTCCACCACATCAAAGTCACTGCCCAAGGTCCCTGCTGAGTGATCAGGAAGCCCGGCTTCAAAATAACCATGAATTGTGGAAAGCTGCACTCAACCAGAGACCAAATCAGAACTCCACAAGTCAGAGTCCAGCGGGTGTTGCTTGGCGCTCCAAATGCCTGATGCCCACCCCATCCCGAGCAGGTCCGTCAGCTTGGCTGGGCTGTCCCACCCTCCAGGCCATACTGGCCAATCCCCCTTCCTTCCTCGGGGGGCGGGGGGGACTGGATTGGGCAGGTCCCCTAGCTCGCCCAGGGCCGCCTGACTTGTGCCTTGGCAGCCCTGAGGGCTGACCTGTGCAGGAACGCAGGCCGAAGTCACAGTCATCTCAGCTCACACAGACTCCAGTGGGAATGACGCTGTGCAGATGGGCGATCCCAGCGCATTAGGGGACTATCTCTCCACCTCCTTGGCCTCTGACCCTCTCTGAGTGGGAGATACCAGCGGTGTTCAAATTCCAAAGGAGGGCTCCCCTTGGGCTGCAGAGACCAACTTTCAGGGCGGCTGGGAACCTCTGCTTTCCCACCTGCCAAGGGGCTGACCACACCTCTGCCCTAAACGGCCCGCCAAGAGTTGGGGAAATGAGAAAGGAGGGAGATTCCAGGCAGCCTCTCTCTGCTGGCCTGCTCAAGTTTCCTCTCTAAGATGGGAGCCGTGCCCGACCCTGTTTTTCTTGACAACTCCCACCAAGATTCACAAACTCAACTGCTCCAGAGGAACTGGGACCCCAACGCCCCCCGCCGCGCCCCTGCCCAGAGGGACAGTGGTCCCATCCAGGCCTCCAGACTGCAGACTGGGACCGAGAAGAGAGAGAGGTCCCGGCGGCCACACGAGGCCAGGATCCTGGAAACAGCACCATCAACCGGGTGCGCTGAGACCCCTGCAGTCCCGGGTGGCCTGCGAACCCCTCGCCTCCACCACCTTACACCTGCGCGTTTCCCCGAGGACGCCGCCTCGGCCCCTCTGACCCCTGACCGCTCTCCCTCGCTCTCCCCAGGCTCCCTGCAGCGCTCACCCAGCAAGCCGCCCAGGAGCGCCCTTCCACGGCCTCTTCTCGGGTTGGAGTCCGCGGCACTGCGCCCCGCCCGCCCAGGAGCCGCCAAGACGGCGCGGCCCGAGGGAGCTCGCTTGCCCCGGGGGTGGGGATGGGAGACTCCCCTCCTGCGCCTGCCCCGCGACCCGCAGCCCGGCCTGGGGACGGTGGGGGACTCACCTCCTGCGCCGGCCCGGTGCCCAGCCCGCGAGTTCGCACCGCGGCCGCCAGGGTCCCCGCCTGCTACGCCCAGGTCCCAACCCGCTCCGCCCAGGTCCCAGCCGGCTCCACCGGACACGCCCCCACGGTGACTCGGCCAATCGGAGCCCGGGAAGCGGGAGGGGCGGGGCCTGGGCGCGGCTCCTGGAGGGCGCCCGGGCTCCTGAGCGCCGCAGGTCTGGGGCTGGGCGGGACTGGCGCCCCTGTTTGACCCCCTGGCCCCGCCCGGCTTCCCTTTCCGCCCGCCGCTGCCCCACGCGGAGCGCGACTGCTGTCACCTGCTGGGACTGCGACCCTGGCCTTGGGCAGGGGTGGGGTGGGGGCGCCCGCGACTGCGAGATCTGCGGGGCTCTGCGGGGAAACGGGCAGTGGGAGGCTTGTGCCTTCTGGTGCCTCCGGCGGGCCTCACAGCACAGTCACCCTCAGTGGTCAATAATCGTAATATGAAAATGCAGCAGCACTTTATAACCTTTTTTTTTCTTGAGATAGGATCTCCCTCTGATGCCCAGGCTGGAGTGCAATGGCGCAATCACAGCTCACTGCAGCCTGCACAGAAATCATCCTGACCCCAGGAGAATTAGCCCACCAGGACAGGCTAGTTTTTGTATTTTTGTACTGTCGGGGGGGGCGGGGGGGTAGGGTCTCACTATGTTGCCCAGGCTAGTCTCGAACCCCTGAGCTCGAGCGATCCTCTCGCCTTGACCTCCTAAAGTGCTGGGATTTCAGTAGTGAGCCACCGTGCCTGACCTATTTTAAACTTTTTATAGTGGCGAATTTCAAACTGAAGGAAAGAGAACAGTCCAGGGGACCCTGGTGCCCATCACCCAAGTCCAACACTAGTAGCAAGTTATGTCACCCCTGGCTCAACTGTACCTGAGCCTCCTGTGTGACTCAGAAGGAAATTCCCAGGCCTCAGTGCCCGGGAGGCCTTCCTGGCCCTCCCTGGCCTCCTCCCAGAGGTCCTCTCAAATGGGCTTCTTCCTATTTCTTAAAGCCCCAGGCCTTTGCTTCTACCTACCAGGCCTCAGACTGTCACCTCCTCAGGGAGGCTGCCCTGGCCACCCAAAGTGGTTCCCTGTCTCCATCCCATCTCCCTCCACAGTCACCCGTGTTTATCATTTTGTAAAGCATCTCTCCCAACCCAGAGTCCTCTCCTGAGGCCACTCGTGGGGTTCAGGGCTGCCTAGCAGGCTGTGGCTTCTGTGGAATGCTCATCAACAAGTCATGCTGGTGGCTTGCCTCCCACCCAGGCCGTGAGCCCCACGGGCCAGATGGTAATTTCTTCTCGTTCAGGCGGGACTTTATTCTCATTCACCCCTGCATCCCGAGTGCTGAGAATGGGTAGTGCATAGGAGGAATGCAGTCAGTACCTGTCACATAGATGCAGGTTGTCTTGCCAAATAGAACTCCACCTGGGTACCTTGAGAGGGTCTGGCTCAGGCCGGGGCAGTGCCTGCTGGGCCAGGACCAGGCGAGAGGGGAGCAGCGGGAGGACTGATGGGCTGTGGGGCCGGAGCTAGAAGAGGTGCCTGCTGTCCTGGCGGGGGGTATGGGTGAGGCTGTGAGGTGGGTCCAGTGCTGGAGACCGGCCTCTCCCAGCTGAAAAGGGAAGGGAAAGGGGATGGGGGGAGGGGGAGGGGGAGGGGACAGGCAAGTGAGAGGGCCACCAGCTGTGGCCTTGGGGAGACCCCTCCCCACTACCACCTTATGGCGCCCACCATACCATTGCCTTGATCAGCAAGGTCAGCATTTATGAGCATTCAACAGAAGCCACCACCTGGTAAGTAACCCTGAACCCCACAAGACCCGAATAATGTCTGTTTGCTTTCAAAGTGTTTAAGCATTTTTAAAATGCATTGCTGTGAACATTTCATATGGGGAGAGTTCACATAAAAATCAGGATATTCAGCTCCTCTCAAATCAGAAGATTTGAGAATGTGGGTCCTCTTTAGAGGGGCCCTGTGTTCTCCCCTCCACTATGGTCCCCACACTCCCTCTGGTTTCCCCCTTGGGGCGCTTTATCTGCTTCCGCGCCTCCAACTGAATATACATTTGGGTTTACAAGTCCTGAAGGGGCAGCCAGGCCTCTATACCACAGAGAGCAGAAAACACAAGGTCTGAGATCCCACAGGCTGAGTAATAACCAGGAGGGTTAGTGGGGCCACTGGGATGCTGGGAAACACTGTCTCCAGTGTACACACTGCTTGTCACCAGCGGGTGGAGGGGGACTTCAAGCTGAGCCTTCAAGGCTGCGATCCATGACTGCTCAGTGCCAGCTCCACCACCTCCCCGGCAAGAGGCTGCTTCTCAGGGAGGGTAGTCCCTGGCTGGGGTGGAGGTGGCCATGAGACTTGGAAGTCCCCTGGAAAGACAGGGCTGTCTTGTTTGTGACAGTGTCCTGGCATTTAACACCTTATCCGTAGAGAGGAGGCCTCGGGAGAAGGAAGCCTTTTCATGACTCTGGGAAACTAGAGGGAGGATGTGTTGGTCCTGCAATCAGGAGACCCCTCCTAGCCTTGTCCTGCTGGTGGTCCAGGACTCACTTGGACCTTAGTCTCCTCTTCTGTCCTTCCTTCCAGCTATGGATCTGAGTGACGTTCCGAGAAACGCCCCAGAGGCAGCACACACTGGTTTCCAGATGTCCAGCCACTTCCCAGCGAGGCTGGCTGTGCGTGGGGACAGCTGGGTGGAGGGCCTCGCTCCTCCAAATAAGAGAGGAAAAACTCGTGACTCAGGGGCAGGCAGAAGTTGAGTCAGCCAAGCCACAAGCTGTGGAAAGAATGAGGTTTTTCCGAGGCGTTTGCTACTTCTCGGGAAAGAAGCCCTTTCGGCGGAGAAGCTGGCTTCCAGACTGCGGGAACCCGGGTTTCAGGAAAGCAGCGGGGCTTGGGATTTTCAAGTTAGGGATTCTGGCAACCACCTCTGCGCCCAACGCCAGGAATTTTTTTTTTTTGGATCGTTTATTAAGTTCTGTCTACATGCCAAGCACTGTGTGCTAAACATTTTATGTTATCTTATCTCTTCCCACACTAAAACTGTCATTCCCAGCTTTCAGTTTAAGAAACTGAAATAGGCACTGAAGTATTTAAGGATGAAAACAAATGTTGCAGCAAGAGAGAGAGAAAACAAAGGAGGCAGAATATTAGCAATAGGTAAATTGGGGTCAGGTGTCTCCAATCTTTTTCTGTAAAGGGTCAAATGTTAAGTACTTTGGGCTTTGAGAGCCGGGATCTCTACGGCAACTATTGATCTTCACCGCTGCAAAGCAAAAACAGCCATAGACAATACTTAAACAAGAGGGTTAGCGTCATGGACACTGATATTTGAATTTCCTGTAATTTTCATGTGTTATGAAAAATTCTTTAAAAATTTTTTTCCAACCATTTAAAAAAGTTAAAAACCATTCTTAGCTCATACAAAATCAGGATGTGGGCTGAAGTTTACCAATCCCTGATCTCTGACTATTTGTTGAACTTTTCGTATAACTGTTCCGTTGGTTTGAAAGTTTTCAAAACAAAAAATTGGGAAAACAAATTAAAGAAAAACAAAGGAAACAGAGGTCCTACTGTTTAGATTGGGCAGATCCTGAAACTGACTCTCAATTTGTCCGATTCCCAAACTACTACATGCTGCATTCTTTTTAAAAAATTATTTGTATTTTATTTCAATTTATTTATTTCTTAGAGATGAGGTCTTGCTCTGTTACTCAGGCTGGAGTGCAGTGGCGCAGTCATGGCTCACTGCAGCTTCGACCTCCTGGGCTCAAGTGATCCTCTTGCCTCAGCCTCCTGAGTAACTGGGACTATGGGCCTACGCGACTGTGCCCAACTAACTTTTTAAATTTTGAGTAGAGATGTGGGGGAGAGAGGGGTCTGTCTATGTTACTCAGGCTGGTCTTGAACACCTGACCTCATGATCCTCCCACCTTTACCTCCTAAAGTGCTGGAACTAAAGGCAGGCACCATCACACCTGGCTAATTTTAAAAATCTTTTGGCCGGGCGCGGTGGCTCAAGCCTGTAATCCCAGCACTTTGGGAGGCCGAGACGGGCGGATCACGAGGTCAGGAGATCGAGACCATCCTGGTTAACACGGTGAAACCCCGTCTCTACTAAAAAATACAAAAAACTAGCCGGCCGAGGTGGCGGACGCCTGTAGTCCCAGCTACTCGGGAGGCGGAGGCAGGAGAATGGCGTGAACCCGGGAGGCGGAGCTTGCAGTGAGCTGAGATCCGGCCACTGCACTCCAGCCTGGGTGACAGCGCGAGACTCCGTCTCAAAAAAAAAAAAAAAAATCTTTTGTGGAGACCAGGTCTCAGTATGTTGGCCAGGCTGGTTTCGAACACCCGGGTTCAAGATCCTGCTGTCTCAGTCTCCCAAAGGTGTGAGCCACCGCGCCTGGCCTAAATGCTGCTTTCTTTTTTTTTTCTTTTTGAGATGGAGTCTCGCTCTGTCCGCCAGGCTGGAGTGCAGTGGCGCGATCTCCGCTCACTGCAAGCTCCGCCTCCCGGGTTCACGCCATTCTCCTGCTTCAGCCTCCTGAGTAGCTGGGACTACAGGTGCCCGCCACCACGCCCGGCTAATTTTTTTATATTTTTAGTAGAGACGGGGTTTCACCATGTCAGCCAGGATAGTCTCGATCTCCTGACCTCGTGATCCACCCGCCTCGGCCTCCCAAAGTGCTGGGATTACAGGCGTGAGCCACCGCGCCCGGCCTTGCTTTCTTTATAGATACTGTAACATGCTAAAGACACTGAGTCTCAAAGTCATACAATGTGGGGCATTTTGAAAAGATTTCTACTGAAATGATTAAGAAGATTAGTTTTAAAGGAGGAAACCCAGAGATGTTTGGGAAACCGTGACTTCAGAAGAAAATCTTGAGGGCGGGCTTGCTGCAGTGGCCTTGGATTTGAAGCTGAGACTACAACAGGACTCCAGGGAACCATGAGATGGCAGCGACGACCCCGCACCCACTCACCCTGCCTGTCTGCCTGTTTATTCCTTTCTCTCTCTGCGTGTGTATGCCCTGCATTTATCATTCCAGCTGTCTGCACATCTGCTTCATGTTTATGGGCATTACTGTGTTTGTTTCCCAGCATGGATTTTTCTCCTAGAGGCTCCAACCAGGCCAAAGGAGGAAAGGAGAAATATAAGAAAACAGAAGCAGGCAGGGTGTGGTGGCTCACACCTGGAATCCCAGCACTATGGGAGGTTGAGGCGGGTGGGTCACTTCAGCCCAGGGATTTGAGACCAGTTTGGGCAACATGGTGAAACCCCGTCTCTACAAAAATACCAAAAATTAGCCGGGCATGGTGGTGCATGTTTGTAGTCCCAGCTACTCAGGAGGCTGAGAAGGGAGGATCGCTTGAGCCTGGGAGTTTGAGGCTGCAGTGAGCCGAGATCACACCACTGCACTCTAGCCTGGGCAACAGAGCAAGACCGTTATATATATATATCTAAACATAAATAAAACAGAAGCGATCCTTTTTGAAAAATGCCTTCGAGGGGTGAAATAAATGTTGCATGCCAATATAATCTTGAGTGTATTAGACCCACCTAGTGTCAATGGAGTACATCCAAGAGGCTTTTGACAGCACTGGTTTGACAAAG